ACCTTTAGACAATGACTAAAAACACATTTCTGCAATAAATCAAATGAAAATGTATCTTCTATTTTTATTATTATTGCAATTACATCCAATTATTCGTCTAACTTTCCTCTAACGTTTGCGAGATGTAAAAATCGTGCGAGATAAGAGACATAACTGTGCAACAGTAAATCAAAGTGAGGCGATTTTTACACCCTGATCTCGGGCAAAAGTTTTCCTCTCGGAAATTACCGCTCGACATTTATGCAAAATATGATATCAATTTAGAAATGATTTAATTTGTATCATTCTATCAATGTTCACATTCTCTGCGCATTAAATCACTAACGACACGCGTTAGAAAAAATGAAAGAAATATAAAAGTACGGAATGATTAGACATGATTAAGAGCGTAGTATCTGACTCCGTGGAACACGGAACGTATACTATAGTTAACATAGGTCAGTTTAATCTCCTTGTAACAATAATAAACAAAGTTGTTTAAAGAAGTTTTGTTATCGAAGAAAATTAAATATTTGCAATAGGAATCTTCAGCTACCATTCCTTCTGCACGTGCTATTCCATGCGAAGAGCTTTTGATCAACAATACGTAGTACAACAATAAATGAAGACATACAAAGTATGTTGAAGCTTCGCTTCCAATAAATATATAAAACAAATTCTTTTCAGATTTTACAGGCTCTTATTCAATATCATATTACGTGATTGACCTGAAACTTTTTGGCAAGGAGCTTTACAAATCGTTGGGAATCACGAGCATTTTAATTGTCCGGACGAATCGAAGCGAGCCCCGGCACCCGGTTGTGATTTTCCTTTTTTGCGAAAGCTTTGTCGTATCCGGTATCTGGCAAATGGAAGAAGAAGCTCGACCCTCTGCCAGGCACCGAATGGCACCAATCGATATGTATATGGCTAAACTGGCCCCTCGGGAGGATATCACCCCTCGAATACGCTATTTTAACTTTTCTACGACTTCGTACACACGACTTTTGGTTGCCGGAGGGTTCTATGCTTCTGGATTCAGTGAAATTCCCAGATGAAAGCGTCAGAATACACATTTAGTCAATGATTCAAAAGGTATATATGTATAACATGTATTGTAAAATATGTAAAAAGTTCTAACATAAGAGTGTGAATGAATTAATGACAATTCGTTCAAATTTTTCCAACGACGAATTCTATGAAATTGTCAATTTTTCATTGAAATTATTACACGAATCCTTTACATTCTTTTATTCGACTATTATTATATAATTTTGATTATGATTGATTTTCTATAATCTATTAGTTAAGACAGTCTCTGGTTAATTAAGAGATTTTTTGATAGAGAATAAGCACTCGGAAGTACGAAAACGGCATAGTACAAACCTCCTGAGAATCTCGCAGCTGTACTAACAATCACGACAAGATAAACCCCAACGCGAGTGCATCCGATCTCCCGCATTGATAATAGTAACAATTAGACTGCATAAACGGTGGTGAAAAGTTGGCCGAAAACCCGACAATTTACAGCCCGCTTCCGATCACGCGTCCCACAAAGTTTCAAACCTGGTCCCCTTTAATTACACGCTAACACATGTGATTGGGATTAAAATACTACTTAAAAAATCGGATGTGTTAACACCTCGAGTGGCAGGGAAGAGTTCTATATTTTTCTCACAATTATATTAAGTATGAATACATATTTTAATTTAAACAATATTAATTAACAATTAGCCGAATTTCTTGCAAAATTGTGATTCTTTTACTTCGTTGAAGGTAAGGAATTTTTATTGCTTTATTGACGTCTGCCAGGAAATGGTAAGAAAATACTTGGCCACTCGAAGTGTTAATTAAAAGAATAGTTGAGACGCGTCGCGCCGGATCGATAATCGATACGCGATCGTGGAGTTTGAACCGTGTCAAAACGACGAAGGAAAACGAGCGAACCGGATTTAACTGCACGGCCGCGTATCTAAACGAGTTTTTGCAGACGGTGGGTCATTCGAGGTTTCGCCTCTCTTCCATCGTGTTCCTCCCTCTTTTCTCACGTTATCCCGCGGCAATGATAACGACGCTATATTGTGTGCACAGCTTTTTGCTGTTCTTCTACGGCGGGATAATTTTACTCTGTATTTCACGCTCTCCTTATGCTCTCTCTTTCTCGCTTCTAGACAGACAATCAGATTACTTCCATGGCATTAAATTTTATTACCTCCACGTGTACCCCTCGTACCTCCTCGTTGAATCAGTAATTATAAAATGTAACTGATTTTTCTTTGATCTTTTTGAAAAATGTTTTATACTTGATGAAGCTCATTCTTTTATATTTGATGGAGCTCATTCAATTAATACACTTTTGTATTTCAACAGAATTTTTAATAATGAAGTATTGTACTTAATAATCGATTCTTCTCCTTGATCTCATTGACAAATGATTCATATTTGTTGGAGCTCATTCAGTTAATACGCTCTTATATTTAAACAGAACTTAATGAAATGGAGTACCTCGTAATTAATGCTTCTTCTTTGATCTCATTGAGAGATTCTTTATATGATTTTTATATTTGCCGAATTAATTCAGTTATATCTTGAAATTTTAATTGTTCTCTCAATGCTTTTTAGTAACATCAATTAAAGTTACGTTACTGATTCACATTGATTGGCTGTAAATAGTGAAGCTTTTGACTAATTTGCAAGAAGATGCTACAAAGTCAATCAATCAATTCACTCTTTTTCAGTTGCTTCTTTGCTTTCTTCACATTGTTATCTTGTTTAACAAGCTCCTTCTGCAATTAGTTAATTGTTTTCGGTGATGCAACATTTGCAGAAAGAACTTCTCGAATTCTCAATGATTTCAAACGCTTGCAACTGACCCATAAAAGAATGTATTAATTAGACGTATTTAAATCTATTTATGAAGTAATTAATTACTATGCGAAAAGATGTGTGGAACAATATTTCTTAAGATGTCGCCGAACTTTTGCTGATAAGTGCATGGAATAGCATAGCGTGAGGGAATCCGGGTTGCTTGCACGAGAATTCACGGGTCACATAGTTTCGCAAAGGGACGCCTTGTCCTTGACCATGGAAGAATCTGCTTTGAATATAAAATCGATTCGGTTCATAGTTAAAACTTCCATTCATTCAATTAGATTTATGTTACACTAAAAATTCGAATTCTTCCTTTGAAACACAGTGAAGTAATTCATTATTTTCCGATTTTATTAGCAGATATTTTAATACAGTTTAATACAATTCATTAAATTGTTCTTTGGGCTTCCTAATAAGAACAGTAAATATTGTTTCCTTCATATTGAATAATACAGGCAGTCTTTCTCAATGATCTTGATAATTCGCTTTCCTTAAGAATTTCTATGAACTCGAGGAACTTCAATTTGTCAGATAATAGCTTTAACGAATAATTATGATAAAGTCCAATGTCCAATTCTAAGTACACAAGTACAGCGTAATTTACCCGATAAGATGGGCAAAATCCAGAGTAATTTCAACGGCTCTTTTTTCTTAAGGACAATTATTACAAAGTCCAAGAGTCAATTCTAAGTTCCAAAGTATAATGTAATGCATTCGATAAGGTGGAGAAATCCAGAATAATTTCATCGCTTCGCTTTCCTTGAGGATAATCATAGTTAACTCGTTAAATATCGAAATTAGAAGAAAAGTGCACTATTTTTTATTAAAAATTTTCGATATTTTGA